GTGGTTAGTGATCATGAATAGAAAAATTTCTTAAAAATAGCAAGTGACAATGAGAAGTTAACACAGCAGCTGTGAGATGAGGCACAGAAGAATAATTTAAGATCAAGAATAGCTTAAGATTAAGAAGAATAACAAGATTTACTGGAGTTAATAAAAAAGCAGGAGATAGTGCAAATGATATAAAAAAACTGTTCACAGTTGGTATGTAGAAAACTGCACTGGTAAAGAAAAAGAATTGGACATACAGTTAAGTGAGGCATATAGAAATCTAATTAGCCATAAAAAAAATCCACAACCAGGCATCTCATAGTCAACATTCCAGGAATTCAACACAGAAATGAAATCTTCAAAGCTGTTATGGCAAAGAAGCAAATCATCTATAAAGGAAAGCTCATAAAAATCACAGCTGACTTCTCAGCACAAACCCCCAAAGTTAAAGACAGCTTGGAGTGAAGTGTATCAAGTTTTAAAGAAAAATAGCCTTCAACTAGGATTGATGTACCCTGCAAAAGTATCTTTCAAAAATGATGGAGAAATAAGATACTTCCATGACAAAGAACATCTGAGCAAATATATGACCACCAAACCAGCATTCCAACATGATTTGAAGGACATTCTAGAAAGAGATAACAAGGGCTACAACTCCATGAACTCCAACAAAAGGATTCTACCAGGCAAGGCAAGCAATTAAATAGAAGGAGGGAAAGGAGAGGACAATAACAGGAAAATAACATGACAAGGATAAGTCAATACATATCAGTTATAATCATCACTGTTAATGATCTCATTAACAATAAAAAGACATAGACTGGAAGAATGGGTCAAGAAGCAAAATCCAACAATATGCTATATACAAGAAATGCATTTAATTCAAAAAGAAATTCATAGACTGAAAGTCAAAGAATGGAAAACAATACTTCATGTGACAGGAACCCAGAAAAAAGAAGGGGTAGTTGTTCTATTTTCAGACAAAGTGAACTTCAAGCTAAAACTGATTAAAAGAGATAAAGATAGACATTACATTCTTGTAAAGAGAACAATCCAAGAGGAAGAGGTAACAATCATAAATATATATGAAACAAATACCAGAACACACAATGATATAAACCAAATATTAACGGGCATGAAATATCAAATAAGCACTAATGCAATTATATTGGGAGGATTCACTGTATTAGGGGATGCCCCACCCTAAAAATGCAGACCAACTAGACAAAAAAAAAACAACAAAGAAATATTAGAACTGAACCAAACTTTTGAACAAATGGACTTAGTAGATGTCTTCAGAGTGTTCCACCCCACAACATCAGAATACACATTCTTTTCAGCTGCACTTGGGACATTCTCCAAAACAGACTGCATACTAGCTCATAGAATATGCTTAATTATACAAAATATATTAAAATTAAAATTATCCCATGCATTATCAGACCATAGTGCAATGACATTGGAAATCAATGGGCAAAGAAACCAGAACTTTATAAACACATGGAAATTAAATAGTACCCTCCTGAACAACCAATGGGTCCCAGATGCAATTAAAGAAGAAATTAGACAGTTTCTACAATTAAATGATAATGACAGTACAACATACAGAAACTTATGGGACACAATGAAAGCAGTCCTAAGAGGGAAATTTATAGCAGTGACTACCCATATCAGGAAAACAGAGCAAGCACAAATAAACAACTTAATGGTGAACCACAAACTTCTAGAAAAAGAAGAGCAGGCTAAAGAAATGCTCATATAAAGGAGAAAATTATAAAGATCAGAGCAGAAATTAGTACACTAGAGATTAGAAAAACAATATAAATAATCAATGAATCAAAGAGTTGATTCCTTGAAAGATTAAATAAAATTAACAAACTTTCATCTAACCTTATCAAAAGAAAAAAAAAGAAGACTCAAATTCATGCAATTAGGAATGCAAAGGGTGAAATCACAATGGGCCCTGTAGAAATCCAGAATATCATCTATATCTACTTTGAAAACTTACATTTTAATATGATGGAAAATGCAGAAGAAATGGACAGATTCCTAGATACATGTGAATTACCAAAGATGAATCAAGAAGATATAAAAAT